AGTTCTATTACCATTATTCAGCGTTATGGCCTTAAATAAGATGAAGAATGCAGACTGACATGTTTAGGACTCGAAGATTAAGACTATTGACTTGGGACTCGACTTGAGACTCGCCTGTACTGACTTGGAACTGGAATCAAGACTCGACTATCTTGACTTGAGACTTGACTTGGGACTTGAGTGTCAACACTTGAGACTTACTTGTTATGTGCAATATAGTGACTTGTTCCCATCTCTGGTCAAAGAAACATATTTCTACTGTTTCTGGCTAACATCAGCGAGATTAGATAGCCTAGTAAGCGGTGGACCCGCACTGCATCTGCTTCTCAGTCATGTCCCTAACGATGCGTCCTTGGCAGCGTGCTCCTGTTCAGGCACTCGTGTTTTGGAATGTAATATACATATTTACTCACAAACATTTTACAACCCTATTGAAAAATAAAAGCAGCATTTAATTTATTTGTTATTTGTATATTTTCTCCATCTTCCTCCGATAAAATGAAATAAATACTAAATAGCGATTTCAGCTTTTGAATACTGGCACCTTGAACGGTTAATAGAGGACTCAAGTACTCAAGCACATCCTTTTTTCCAACTATGTCCCTTAAAGGAAGGCACTGGTACAGTTCACAGTGTTGCCCATCATTTCATACTATTGTGTAAGACATATCTGATCACTATAGGTGATGGAAAGATAACCAGATGGATTGTACTGAGTATCAGATGGAGAGGATGCCCGTCTGCTTAGATGCCATGGCGACACCGGATGCTGTGGTTTCTATAGAGATGAAGAAGACCACGGCGCTCACACCTCTAAATATAACTGAGACTCATAAACAAACACAATCAACCCAGAGCAGAGAAGGGGATACCAGCAATCACTCATACACATATATCTAATACGATAATACTTCTGCTCAAATATATTAGTGAGGAAATTCAACTGCCTTTTACATACTTACCCCACCCCTGACAGGACCACCATAGTGGATCATTCTCTGCACTGCAGTGACACTGACGTGGTGGTGGTGTGTTAGGGTGTGTTGCACTGGTACAAGTGGATCAGACACAGCAGTGCTGCTGGAGTTTTATAACACTGTGTCCACTCACTGTCCTCTTCATTAGACACTCCTACCTTGTTGGTCCAGATGTAAAGCAAGAGACAGTAGGTCATCTGTTGCTGCACACTTTGTGTTGGTCATCCTCTAGTCCTTCATCAGTGGTCACAGGACGCTGTTGGCTGGATGTTTTTGGTTGATGGACTATTCTCAGTCCAACACTGAGGTGTTTAAAAACTCCAGCAGCACTGCTGTGTCTGATCCACTCATACTAGCGCAACACACACTAACACACCACCACCACGTCAGTCTCACTGCAGTGCTGAGAATGATCCACCACCCGAATAATACCCGCTCTGTGGTTGTCCTGACCATTGAAGAACAGGGTAAAAGGGGGCTAACAAACAAAACAAAATGCTCCTATGTGATAAGTGGAGCTGATAAAATGAACAATGCATGAAGAAACAAGGTGGTGGTTTTAATGAAGAGGCCAGTCAGTGAATATAGTTAAGACTGTGAGTTTCTGCTGCTTTTTTTTAGTTTAAAAAGTGTTCAAATAGACAATTAACATTCATATCAGTAAGTTAAGCACTGTTTAACTACAATTATTAAAGTGTTAAGTTAAAATAGACAATTATAACGACTAACATTACCGGTTATCATAATTTTTACCCCCCCAAAAAACAGTATCAGCCACATTTTCATATTGGTCAGATCCAGTTATGCACTGAGTGATTGTATTATATTGCAAAATACAAATATAAAATGAGATTAGATATCACCAGCAGGCCCAAAGTTTTATCACACATATATAACCTAAGAACAGCTCAGCCAGTTTGCATTGAAGTCCCTGTAGTTACTGAATAATAAGGCTTAGTATGTATTAAGCCTGGGAATTTGGGGGGTTAAAGACTTGGATTATGATCAGATGCATAAAACTAAATTTGGACTTCTTACATTCTTACATGCTTATGAATCTGTGAAGTGGAGCACAGTAGAATATACCATCATGGAACGTAAAGTCAGCATGTATCTTATAGATTCTGCTTCATCCTGTTGTGAATTTTTGCTCAGCCTCTATGGATATTTTTCTACCTGCTACTAAAAATGAATTTCTCCACATGGACGAACCCAAAAATAGATTTGCCTGGACATTATTTTTTAACACTGAGTGACTCACCTACAGTTTCTCTTTACACACACAATTGTGCTGTCCACCCCCCACTACACACACAGCATCGCAGAGATTAATAATTCAATCGAACAGACTACCAACATTCATATGACCTTCTGAGCCATACAACATGCTAAATATAGAGCCTCATCTATGCCTGTCAATAATATGAACCTTACTGCATGTTGTAGAAAGAAGGTAATGGCATACAACTGCATTTATCTGTAACAGAATGGATGGGCAAACACTGCGTAGTCAGTTCAGGTTGTAATGACTGCAGTATTGACTGAACACCTCAGGGACGTCTCACAGCAGAGCAAAACACTCTGTGAGAGCGCCAGAGTCGTGAGCTATTTATTAGCGCCTGACTAATATTAGTTTTTTCACTGATACCAATACTGATTTATACTGATTTTAAAGGGCTCTTATAATGGAAAACCACATTTCCCTCACTTTTATTTCAATAATGGAGTTATTCTGGAATATTTACACATTAAAGTAGTTAATAAACTCATTTAAACAACGTTAAAGTGTTTCTATGATCTCAAAACAACCAACTCATTCACATCGATCCACCTATTCAGCTACAGCAGCTGCTTTTTGAATGAGGCATAATACAGGGCAGCTAATCAGAGTAGAGCTTATTTACATATAGCTTACTGTGTCTTAAAGGCACAGTAACAAAAAAACAGCCTGTTTAATTATAAGGGATCAATAGAGGTTGGGAAATGGTCACATAAAAATTACTTATGATTGATTTTGGTACATAAAATCACACAAAATTAATAAGAGAACCTCAAGGAGAAAAAGTAAATACAGGAAAAATGGATATGGGTCATTTAAAGTGCTAAAATTCTGATAATCAGTATAATGTACGTATGTAAATCGACAATGGTACATGTTGATATGTGTGAATGATCAAACCAGTTCTCAACTTTTGTAATTCTTAAATGAAAGTCTTAATAATATAAATTAATAATTCAATAATATAAATGAATAATTCAAAAATAAAACACCATTTCTATTCTTGCATATCCTAAACTTTTCTTGTATTTTAATTTATGGTAATCTCTGCTGTCCATGTAAAATGGTTGTGTGGTTTTATGTACCAAAAAACAGTCATAATTGATTTTAAAATGACTAATTTTCCAATCTCTATTCATTCCTTATTGTGCCTTTAAGAATGATATATGTAAATGAGCTCTGTTCTGACTGGCTGTCCTGTATTGTGCTTCATTAAAAAGCAGTACAGGCAGAAACACTCCTTATAACAGTGTGAACGGATGCAGCTAAACTGCTGTAGGCTGAATAGGCGAATACCTGTACGTGTTGTTTTTGTGACATCACAAAAACAATGAAATCCAAACAGTCTGTTTTAAAGAGACACTCGCTGTGCTGTACTGACGACGATACATCTGTGGAACCTTAATATTGTCTAAAAATTGATAAATTGGTCAGGTCCTACTTTTTGTCTATGTTTTGACAGCTTCTTTTATTACTGTATGCTTATCACCATTTTAACTGCTTTAACATGCACACTAAACTTGTTCACGGTATTCAAATGGCATTTTAGTGACATTTCCTGACACTGTGCTGTCCAGTCAGTGTTACAGACAGTGGAACACTGCGGCACCTAATGTGAACTGGCACCAGGTCTCTCCGCTAAGATCACTGCTACCCTTCATGACAATAACCAAGTGCTGGAGGATATTCTGTTCTTTCTGATCTGGAGAAAAAGATTGATATCATTTTGTGCAGTTTATTAATTTTGGAATATTGTGTTTAGTCTGTCAAAAGTGTTAAGGCCCTATGATTAGAGTAAAAGTAGAGTAAAAGGACCATGAAAGACTAACAAACCAGCAGCCATTGTCATTAAATAAAGTTTATATATATATATATATATACACATATATATATATATATATATATATATATATATATATATACAAATGGAACAGTGGAGCTGAATTTACTCATATTTTCTCTATAGCGTTTCATCATTTTTTGAACTTAAGTTTTCTGTATTTCTGTCCTTTCCCTTCTTATGCAAGTGGATTATTTTATATGTAACATCCTCAGAAATACCTCCTGAAATAAATAGGTTGTACTTAATGGCCGTTTTCTGGAAGTTAAAGGTACACCATGTAAGTTTTGGGGATTTCGGGACCTCTCTGGTGGAAAAGTGTAATTGCATGCAACGTGTGGAGGACCATTTTATAACGTCAGTTGTGTGTCAAACACCTTCCTTGAGCAGACAAATCTGATAATTGTGAGTGAATGATCTACTATTGTGCTGGATGTTCTTTTTGAGGTTGTGTAATATTTCAAGACAAATTACATGGTCCGATAAACTCCCTCAAAATCTGACCTGAGACCTCTGACTTTTCATTTATTATTCCAGACTTAATTGGGCAACACCTTATTTTAGTATGCCTTTTATCCCCTGACTCAGTAATTTTAACAAAAAATATATATAACTCATATAGTGGAGCTTGAAATGAAAGGTAATCTCTGACTTGTTCACTAAACAGGCACCAAAATGTGTTAATAATCAGATAATACTGATAATAATCCGTTTTTTAAATTGTGTGTTTGTATTAAACAAGCTCACATATATCCTGTTTATGTAAGCCTAGTTCTCTTTATTCAGTTTACAGTCAGAACACTCAATATGCGTCATCTGTTTTCTCTTCATTACTCAATGATTTTCTGTACAGCATTTATTTGGCTTTGATGAGCATAATACAGACAGGAAGCAATTCACTCACCCATTGTAGTATCTTTATGAAGCCTAAAGGCTGTTTGATGATGGTGAACTGCCCAGTGGCAACCAACTGTGAAAACACATGCACAACATAGCTCAGAATCTTCACAAGAAACATTTGTTCATATAGGATAGAACACAATGTCGTTATAGTAAATATTATAACTCACACATAAAGGCCTGGATACACATCATAATTATACACCATAATTAATTACACATGTCAAACAAAGTAGACAAGTCTTCATATGGGTGTCTAAACTCACCAGCCAGGTTGTTAGACGCAGCTATCTTGTGCTTCCAGTCACAGGCTAGCTTATGAGCTTTACCTACCCTATAGGTCCGCTATATAGAATGGATGTGCATCTCGACTAATTTTGATATTTGGGTATCCATAAGAGCTAATTAGGGTTGCATCAGTACTGATACTGATTGCACGCAGTTTTGGAATTGGTGACGGAGATACCCATACCTATGACTGACACCATGTAGTATCAGTCCACGAGGCACGTGTTGCGTAGTAGCAACGTGTGTATGTATATATATATATTGACCTGTTGGCCTGTAGTTCCTCCCTCTTCCTGTGATGAAACATAACAAATCCTCAAATAGTAATTTTGGTATTCGAATACTGGCACCTGAGTTGGGGCACTCAAGTACCCGTGCACATCCTTACCATATACACTCTTGGGGAAAAAAGGTACTAAACTGTCATCGGGTCGGTACCCCTCTTTTCGCTGGGGTGGTACCCTCAAAGCTACATCTCAGCTGAATCTGTTGATTCACAATCTTTCAGATTCCATTCAACACTGGTCAGCTTCTCAACACAAGACCCCAGTCTCAATTCTGGGGTCCCCATTTTCTGTCACATATTATTCTCATTGGTTAATTAACAGGCTCCTGATCTGCTAGTTCAGGAAAAAACACCAGGGGTCTGATTGACACACAAATTTTCAAGTTCTGGACAAACAGGGACAAAATTTTGATAAATTATATTGCCTGACAATCAATTCTCATTAGTCAGCGATTAATTGCTAATCTTCAGGTCAAATCTGATTGGCTGAGCCACATTCAAAGCTGCTGAAGAATACTGGATATGTGCATGCTCATGAGGGCATAAGACAACTGAACTGAATATTCAAACATGTTCCTTGTATGGACTGTGGAATGTAGTGCTGATAGCTGGGGCTACGTATAAGCGTATACATATGAAGTAAACAGCCAAAAACATACTAAACACACTCTAAGTAAGAATGTGTGAATTTCTTACACTGCCTCACATCATGCACATCTCTCAGAGAACTTAGACGAAGCAGTCATCAGTCTAATGCTTGTATATGTTTGCTTCTGCTAAAGTTGTGCAATCGCTCTTCTGAAAAGTCATTTTTCAGTAGGTTTGGTCTAGTGCAACCAACTTTGCCCTCATGGAATTCAAAAACGTTCCTCAACTGTAAAGATAAACCCACCGATTCAAGTACTGATTGTTGTTTGTTGGGAATGAAATAAGATTAAATTAATGTTTTGGTTCACCGACGGTATGAAAAACACATTTCAAGTGTTTAGACAGAGCTTTAATTATACACTACACATTATGCATGAGTTGTGACTTCGCAAAAAAGCCCAGTCATTTGAGTGTAGATGCATGCGTAGTAGGGCTGGGATGTTTGAAAATCAATAAATAATGATACTTTTATTACATATGTCATAACAGCACGGAATCTGTTTCCGGATGGATAATGCAGGTAGTGCTGGTACAACAGTTTTCTGCACTAACCCTAAGACTTGTTTAATCAAGATATTGGAAAAACAGAAAGCCTTTTGAAAAACTGATCTTCCCACATCAATAACTTCACAGTATTGTGTGGCAGTTTTTGTCACATAATCATGAACTACACCTGCCACACATTTCATTGCATGGTTTAATAAGAAGCATTTACTTTATTAAGGGTGTTTTCCCACTGCTCACTGACCCAAATCTGAGCCAACTGCACTTACGGTTCTAGTTCTAGTTCATTTCTCATCTGCTCAAGAGACAGCTGCCACTGTAATAATAACATTAATAACAAAGTAATTGTTTGTTTGGTCATTTTATACCACTGTAAAGCTCTAATTCAGCTAACTAGCTACCTTGCATGCTAATAAGCTTACGTTATTGGCTGAAATGCAACAATATATTACACTATTCTGAGTTCACGCTCACACAAATATCTACGTTTACACAGAATCATGTGAAGAATCAAACAAAGATGCAGTCTTTCTCTGTCAAGTGTGAAAATATAGCAAAAACATTGTGGCCGCTAGTATAAATACTAAACCAGCTAGCTTTATAAGGCTTATGTTGCCTCATATCCAACTCTCTACAGCGTGATAATTCTAAAAATAGCAGTTCTAAAAATAGGAATTATACGACAGTTAGCTGATTGGTTGAGAGGTGTTCTAACTGTGCTGTTATTTCACCATATCATCACATTTTTTTCACAAACACTGTATCACTCCGCTGAGATGCCGTTGCTAAGCAACGACTTTGACAGCTGTAGGAGATGCTCAAGCCATTTGAACGCTTTTACAGAAAATGGACACTTTTAAGATCACATTTGACCCACAGCCGATTTGGTCAGACTCTGAAGATGAGACTACACTAAATTCCCAAACTGTCATCACCACTGAGCAGGTTTTCAGTCAGCAGCTGCGACAGAAGAACAGCTAAACAACCTGGAATCAGCCAGAAATGAACCGAATACCATTCGCCAAACAAAACGGGCTGTAAGATGCTTTACAGACTGGCTGGAACAAAACAACATTAATATTGATCTAGCAAAAAAAGACAAAACTTGATATTGAGAAATTCCCTGTTTTGGGACTTATTAAGGATTATCTTATCTTATATGGCAGCAGTTTTATGGCTCAGTCCGATTTGGTCACACTCTGCAGACGAGACTACGCGTTTGGCGAATGGTATTCGGTTCATTTCCGGCTGATTCCAGGTTGTTTAGGTGTTCTTCTGTCACAGCTGCCGACTGAAAAGCTTGCTGAGTGGTGATGACAGTTTGGGAATTTAGTGTGACGAGCTGGAGAACGAACTGCTGGCTGTGCAGCGAGTGAGCGGAGCTTGTTACTCTGACATAGCCACAAGCTGCTTGTTAAGGAACTTTAATTTGGCGGAAGGAATTGCTAACATTAAAACATATTAAATGACACGTTTACGGCCCAGTTTATTTATTTCTGACTTTATTAACTCTTGTATAAAATCAATAGAACACTCGAGGTCGTGTGTTATCGCGAATGTTGCTCGACAACTTCATCTTCATCCTGAAGAGCCGAAGGTTCACTAAACTGACATCCCTCAGTGGGTTTATTACTACTTATAGCAGCTCTACTTGCCTTTGAAAGCTGGAAAATGGGAAAACTGTTCATACACGTGTACATTTGACATTACAGCCTCAAACACAACAGGAACAGTCCTCAATGAATGGGGGTGGATGTAGCTAAACGGCTAAAAACAAAAAGTTAAAGTAGTTTTTAATCACTCGCCCAGAACTTTCCTTTAATTTTAAAAAGTAGAAGGATGTATTTCACTAAAAAAGCAAAAAAAGGTATCTGTATGTTTTCTTTTTTCTACAGCAAACGGGTTTTGGCTAGCAGGACGCTAATATCACTGCTACTGGGTGCTGATTGGTTGGCGAGCGGAGCAGCTCATTGGCTGTTCCCGCTCACTGACGTCATGAATGTACATGAGGCGTCGTTTTAAACTATTAAAACTCGAGTTTAAAAGCTCTTAAACAGCAGTGTTAAAATGCTTTATGCTGCTCTGTGTTCAGGAAATAAATGTATTTACTTCCATTAAAAATGTTTTATGAACTATAAGTTCTAAACATTTATAAACTATGATTTTGCTCAAATGCTCCATCTTAACCCATTCATTTTGGACTCGCCCTCTAGCATTTAAGAAAGCCGGAAGACATTACAGAGCGGTAATTCTCCTTTCTACGAGTTCTCTAAATACGGCTCTGGGCTTCATGTATTTTCTCTGGGGAAGCGGTTTGCGCTCATTGACGTCATGAACGTATACGAGACACCCTATACAGTCCTATAACTGGAGTCCAAAAGTGCACTGTTCTGTGTTCAGGAAATTAACACATGCTTCTATATAAAAACGTTTAAGCATTAATAAACTATGATTTTGCCCAAATACTCCTTATCAACTCATTTTAGACTCGTTCGGGAGCGCCCTCTAGTGTTTAACAAACCCAGAGTTCTCCTCATAAACACATAAAGGCCTTTTTACACTGAGTCGGAGTCTTTTCTTTACAGAAAAAGTCAACACACAAAAAAACACTAATGTAATTTTTCACATTAGCATACAAAAAGGCAATGATCGATAAATCAATGAGTGGTCCCAGCCCTACTGAGCGCACGCACAGCCCCTCCCCTCTCACTTTACTCTGATTGGATGCATAGTTTATTGTCAGTGATTTTTACTTACAAAGCAAAAGCTCGGAAGAGACCGTTTTGAATGTCGATATATTCTTTGGAGCGTTCATTTCTTCAGTATTTTGATATTATATTGAAATCGTTACATCCTTAAAATCACCAAGCTGCGCAGAGCTCGGGGTCTCCCAGGACCTGGACTGGGAACCACTGTTTTGTAGTGATTTATGATGCTGAATTATGGCCGTGCCTACATCCACCGTCAGATGGCGCCAGAGAGCAGCGCGCCCCACCGCCAGCATCAGAATTACACAAAGCTGCTTATCTGCGAGAGCGCGAGCGGCTACCATTTGCTGGCCACGGCAAAATAATGCTTATAAATGTGAGGTGAGGTAGGCTGGGCACAGGGCCAATGACCAGTGTCCGTGAGAGAACACTGCACGAAGGAAGGCGGACCGTCTGCAGAAACATTTGCAGGCAAAAACGTCAGTTTTATGCATCTATTTTTGATGCTCAGACTGCTGGTGTTTCTGGCGTTATGAGAGCTTGAGCTCTTGAGTCCTGAGGAAAACTAGCTCAGTATTAGAGAAAAAACATTTATACCAGCTCAGCATTGCACATCTGTCTTATTTCAAATGATACAGTAAGGAATTAAATGCTTTTCCAGGAGGCTGAAGTTCCTACTCGCCCGAATCTCATTCGGTTTTGAAGCTGGTGATTTAAGGTGGAACGGAAAATTCGGATAAGAAGCTGGGCAATTAAAACCTAACTTCTGTTTACAACCGGAGCCTCTTTGGTTACGACAAAAAATCAGTTCAACAGCCTGACAGGACGGATAGCGCTGGCTGTGCGAGCTTTAGCTGCACCAAGGTGAAGGAACAGCACTGCGATGCAGACAAACAGAAGAAAAACGTGCCCAATATTTCTCTTAATAGACCCTTACAGGGTGAGACAGGTAGACACCCCACATTTACGCAGCTTGGAACTGTACATTTCTCCAGGCTGTATATGACCTTCAGGCTGAACTTTTTAGGATAGATGCCATTACCTGCGCAGCGCAGCTCTGGCCAAAGCTATTTTAGCCCTCTGCTGTAGCTGGGTAGGAAAAGATCTGCAGTCAAAACAGCAGCATCATAAAGCAAGAAGCCCCCAGTTTAACATGCATGCTCGCTCCCGATGTGACATCGTTTCTGTGCTGCAGGACCTGATTTTCCGCAGAGATGTCTACGCTCAGTCTGCAGCGAACCAGTCTTATTTTCCTCTCTGTTTCTCTTCTAAATGCACTACAGTGTCCTTTATTCGCACAGTCAGCGGTCAGTTCCAGTCTAGCAGTGCGCAGTACTGGCTAAGTTAACTCGAAACGCTGGGTGGAATGTGATTTATAAAGCGAATAGCTGTAATTGAGAGCCCTACCTGGTTGACAATATCCATCTTAGGCGCCTCTTCAGTGATAAGAGGATCAGGAGAGCGGAGGGAGGACGGCGCAGTGTCGGGAACAGCCCGCGGAGGAGGGATTGACACGGTGCCGCCGATAGGGGGCGGTCGTCCTATCGCATTGTGGTGGTGAAGATTTAGAACTGGTTTTGCTCGATTCAGTTTACGGAACCGATTCATTCGAACGGTGCGTTTCAATGAACCCAACGCTCATTTTGGACCATTTCTATTGGTTCAAAAAGACGTAAGGTTGTCCTGACAGTGACAATATATTGTCTATATGTTTTCACTACAACGTATTGAGTTTTAGATCTCTGACACTGAATTTGTAACTATTCAAAACACCTAAATTTAACTAGAATTATCTATGAGAGAGTGACAGTTTCTGTATTATTTATTGTAATTATTATGGAGGTGTGTGGTGATATCTGTAATTATATTAAAGAGGTCTACAAATACAAAAATACAGTTTGTAAAATGAAAGTATCGCTTTAAAGAAAAATTACACCAATTTTCCAAATGTTCTGCATCATTCAGTCATTGCGATATAAAGTCGTTCTGAGTTGAATGATGTGAAGTGGTTCGTTGTAGAGAAACTTACCGACTTTCTTTACAGTAGTGGTGATAGGAACCAGAGTTATGATGTCTACAATACAAATACAGCCACTTTATGTGACGTGTTTTATGAGTTTTATATGTAATGCTGATAATTGTAAAATAGTAACGAGCCCCTAAATTGCCATTGCAAAAAACAAACAAAAAAAATATTGTAGCACTCCCTTGCAAAATCCTTTGTATTTGTGAGGAAAGGACAATTAATGTGTGCAAATACCCTTTTTACTCTTAGGGTCTCCATAAACCAGCTGCAAATCTGAAAACAATAATTTGCCTCACAACGCCCTGCATGTACACGCCAGGACAAAAACATGAAAGCAAAACTTTCGTAAATGAGGTCTTAGACACCAGGCAGTGTGTTCATGACTGTTTCATGTAACAACTTTTTGTGGTGATGCTTTCAGAGGCATTAAACTCTTCAGATGTCTGGTTCCTATCACCACCACTGTGAGCAAAAATGTCTTTACAACAGAGAATTTCACATCAATCCACTCTGAATGTCTTTGTTCACATCCTAACCATTGAGGTTTGCAGAAAAATCAGTGGAATTTCCCTTTAACTATTTCAATTTTACTTACAGACATCCATAATTCTTGCTAATAATCAGAAATACTAGTAAAATCTGAGTTATGACTATGATGTATTGCTGACTACTTCTACTGCTTCAGATGTTCTCAAGAAGACACAAGCACATAACAGAAAGATTAAGCTATAAAGCCTGCAGAGAGAACATGAACATGAATATTTTTCAGTATTACAATGTGGAACTTTACATTATGACTGTGTCAAGCTAACTCGTGAAAAAGCCTACAACATGAATGTAAACATCAAGAAAACGTTACAGAAAGTTTGATTCAGTCGGACTCATGAGTCAGTTTGACTGAATCCTTGAACATAAGAAGGATTCGAGCATCACTAGTGAAGGTAAATGTAAAAGTCTTGTTACGTCAATGAAATAACGACTCAAATAGGTGTAACAACAGCTTCTGAAACCAACTTTATCAGGAGAAAAAGTATCACAAATGACCCTGAGTTCCTCTGTAGAACTGTAGTGGAAATTCTCAGCAGATCCAGCATCTTTCAGTACTGGAACTGAAGTTTGTTAGGCTCTATTCTTCTTTTCTTAGGATCATTTTTGGTCTAAATTAACATGCTATATTTTGAAAGTGAGAGGCATGAGCACAGAGGCGGAGCTAGAACTTTAAGAATGGGGTGGTGAGGTAAGACCCAGAGATTTTATTGCTGTGTCACACTGACAAGAAAAAGAGCATTACTGAATTAAAATGACATAAAACGTGATGTGTTGGTTTTTCTCTGTACATGAATAAATCTGTCCATCGTTTCCACATGAATAAAATATTACATCAGCACAACTAAACTGAAAGACAAACTGTAGATGTAAATCTTAGTCATTCGTGAGGATTTGATGAATTTGAGTCAAGTAAATTAAATGTGTCATTGATTGTAAAGCCAGCCAGAAAGCACTGTATAATCTAACCTACAACACCTGCATGTATTCAACTGTAAAAATAGTATGATAAGTGATTATAGCTCATTTTTGATAGATCAGTCATCTTACAATCAATAGCCTATACATAATGTAGCTCACAGAGCAGCAATGCTGAAGGGACCCAGTGCTCATTCACTCGCCTGTTTGCTCAGCAGTTCAACCAATCAGAGCAAGATATGCTAATTATTAAATGCAGCATCATCAGACTCATAATTGACTGGTAACTATTTTAATGGCATAAATCATAAATGATGCTTTAATAATGACAGCTGACTGGTGATGGCTGACTGTCACACTTTCCATAACCAGGGTGACCAGAAGTGTGGCTATGCTTCAGGCTACACCACTGCATGAGCAACAATAAAGCAGTCTAAATGCTGTCACCAACACATCAGCATAAAACACCAAAAGGGAACTGAGCAATAGTTATTTTCTTTTTGATATAAGTAAAAATATATGAAAAGAATGGATCTATCAAAATTAAGTGCATAGAACTGAGGAAGTGCTTGTAACCAGTTACTTGCAGTTGACATTTGTACTCAATAATTCAAATGCATTAGCATTACAAATGCAGCCTTAGCATGTAAATATAGTGCCTAATTAGCAGATAAATAACAATGTAATTACATAGTTTGAATATGTATATGCTATAACTGTGTTGGGAGCAGAGAAATGGTCTAATATGCAGTAGATAAGCAGTTGAGGACCAGTTGCTCCACTGCTTACCTACTGCATAGGCACAATAACCTACCACACATACAGGTTAGACACATTACCTACAAATTTGAATGTAGGTTTGAAATTTATTTTTTAGAATTTTATGACAGTATTATACTTCTCTGACATTCCTGCAGAACTCTATTAGTACTAGTCTTATATGTCCAAAAGTATCCAGATACCCTTTTAATTAGTCAATTCAGCTACTTTAAATTGATGACAGGGGTTCACTTCCTCACACAGCCTGTATAATCTTCATGGAAAAGCATACCAATAGAATGGGACACTGGGAATGGGAACAACAGCGCATGAGCCTATGGTCACTAAAGGCCTATGCCTAGCATCAGCTAGATGGGTATGAGACCCCCCATCATTGGGCTGTGGAGCAGCGGAACTGTGTTCTTTGGAGTTATGGAGCTCCATCCAATACCTCTGGAATGAGCTGGAGTGGCATTTGTGAACCAGAACTAATCATCCAACATCGGTACCTCATCTCACTAATGCTGTTTTGGCTGAATGCAATCAAATCCAATCAAAACATACTGTTTCTCGTGAATAAATGTATGTCTAAATCCAACTAAGCAAACATTTGGTGTACACAGAACTAGGTTTACAGTATTGAATTTAAATGCTCTAACAAACAGAAAACAACATTCATTGAGTATGTTTAGTTGTAGAGCTGAACAAATGAAAGAAACCAAGAGAGCGACCCTGCAGCATCATGGTCACACGCTTCTTAAGGGAATTTTTAAAAAGGGCAAATGCTTTTACCTCAGGCATGCTTGGTCTACGGTTAGTCCCTTAGGCCTAGCAACATTGTGAAATAAATAAATAAATGAAACGTGGCCTAAGAAGCCTAAGAAGAGGCCCACAGTCACTTCACATTTTTTTACATTCTGTATCTGAGCACACCTGGACAGGCTAATCAGCTCTGTACAGGGCGTGATGAGTTGGTCCAGGTGTGATGAGTTCTGGAATAGAATAACAAAGCAAAGAATGAGGGCAAATAGATCATTTGCAAACATAATGAGGTCCGCAAAGAAGAGAAAGTCTGAAGTATAAAATAACTCTTGTTTTATTAGGCTCATAAAACCCTGGAGTATCAGCAGTCAAAATAACAGGGCTACTACCAAACTGGGAATATTTCCAGTGCTGTAGAAATAAAAAAGGGAATATTTCCATTTGAGAATGTGTATTTTCACTTTCTGCTATTTATACTCAGACTTAAATGAACAAAATACTAAAATGCTGATATTGCTTAACTGGGAATTCACTTCATTCATAAAGGACACAAATTCATGTGATCAAAACTGGAATGTGAGTAAATACTAATGGTTATTAGGTTTACTCAAAGTAGGACTATGCTTTATGTAAGTGTGACAGTAATGCAATACAAAATAGTTCCTGTTATAAACAATACTGGACAGTTGTTCTATTTGGAAAAAAAACTGCTAAGAGCTGATAAGAACAGATGATATGAGATACAGTAAGTGCATTGCATTTGGGAAACCTTATACAGCACATAATAACTGCAACATTTCATTATGCTTTATTCAGCTCAGGTACTGGTGAGCATATCAGAAGAAGTTCTCTGAAAACATCTGTGAGGCAGCTTTGTATCATATTTGCCCATGGCTGCTTATACATTTCTTTTTTGTTCCTAAACCTCAATGCTGTGCTCACAGGCTGTTCTTACCTCTTTAAATCTTTGCTCCACTCTGTTAGGTCCTATAACTTAAGTCTTCAGAACTTCAGAACAGTCAGAACCAAATTCATATCCATTCCAAATGTAGAAGCCTGTGCAGCTCAGTAAGGGCTATGGAATCATCAAGTGCTGAACAAGCACACATCAAGACACTGGAGTGATTTAGGAAAAGTAGCATAAAAATGACCCATTTAGCCACTCTTACCTTAACTTCCCTACTTTCTCTTTCAACTCTTCAACTCTCTTACAACTTCCTTGCTTTTCCAACTGCTTGCCTCTGCCTTTGGGTTCTCTCTAAAGTCCTATAACTGCATTCGTTTTACCAAAGGAGGAACTACAATATTAGTGATTTTAAACCAGTAAGAATCTGCAGTGTACATCGTACATAGAAGTAATAATTCCTGGATTGAACTCTGTAAAAGTAAACTTGTTTAAATCGAACTGTCCTGACACAAAAACCTTCTAATAGTCACGGCGATGCTCCGTGTTTTTATTGTTATTGAGTGTCCTGTG